ATTTCACAGTAATGCCCCCCTTTTAATGTCACCTTCTCAAAGCCTTTTTCTTAGTTTTTAAAATCAAAGATACATTCCTTAATGAAATCAGGAATATTTCCTAAAATATTTTCAACGAAATAAATGTATTTCACAACAAACAAAACACACTAATGCCAAAACCATGCAGCATAAGTGATCTTTAAAAGTGTACACCAGGGGCGCCTGGGTGGCTCAGGGGTTAAGCCTCTGCCTCTGGCTCAGGTCATGATCTCAGGGTCCTGGGATCAAGTCCCACATTGGGCTCTCTGCTCAGCGGGGAGCCTGCTTCTCCCCCCACCCCCTCTGCCTGCCTCTCTGCCCACTTGTGATCTGTCAAATAAATAAATAAAATCTAAAAAAAAAAAAAAGTATACACTATACAAACACAGAAGGAAGAAATCGCTCTGGGGATTTCTGCAAACCACATCAAAATGGTGCACATTTTGGAAATCTCCAGCTAGTTAACTGCATACAAAGAGGTCATTACAGTTTATTGAATAAACACTGCTTTTTTACTGCTTAATATAAACATATTTATATAAGACACTTAATGGATCCAGAGAAATCACTCGACAGTTTGCATGTTACAAGTCCCTGAATGGAAGACACACTTACATAGAAATGTTTCTTAAGTCTCTAATGTAGGCAAGAGAAATTATGATGGCTTTTTAAAGAGAAAGAACTCAAAATCAAAATGTTTTAGGAGTAGCTAATTTGTTCGTCATCCCATAAATAATTACAGCAAAACTAGTGACTCTAAAACCTAAAAAGGGTATTGGCGCAAGCACAAGTATACACAGATCTAGAAAACTGGAAGTCCAGAAATAAATGCTAACGTTTATGATTAACTGATACTTGACAAAGAGGCCAAGACAATGGCAAAAGAATCATTTTTTCAAGGAGGCTGGGGCAACTGGATATCCATATGTAAAAGAATGAGCTTTGACTCCTTCCTCACACCATACACAAAATTAATTCAAAAAAATTCTAGACCTAAAATTAACAGTTAGAACTACATAACTCTTAGAAAAAACACAGGCTTTTCTAAATCTTCATGACTTGAATCATGCAATGATTTCTTAGATAAGACACCAAAAGCAAAGTGTCAATAAAGGGTGGGGGTTAATGTGACTTTATCAAAATCTAATACTTTGATACCTCACAGGATACCATCAGTAAATTGAGAAGACAGGTCATAGACTGGGAGAAAATATGTGCAAATTATATATTGACAAGGGACGTGTATACACAATATCTAAACAATTTTTCATAAGTGTGTAATAGAAAGGCAAATAGCCCAATCAAAAAATGAGCAAAGAATCCAAAGAGACATTTATCCAGAGAAGATATACAAATGGCCAAGAATCACATGAAAAGATGTTCAACATCATTAATCATTAGAATCAAAACAAGGAGATACTACTTCACACCCACATGGCATAATCAAAAAGACAGATAAAAATGTTGGTGGGGTGACTGGGTAGCTCAGTTGGTTAAGCATCTATGAAGGTCATGGTTATGAACCCAGGGTCCTGGGACTGAGCCCCACATCAGGCTCCCTGTGCAGCAGGGGGAGTCTGCTTCTCTCTCTGCCCCTCCCCCTCCTGCTTGCTCTCTCTCTCCCCCCCCCCCAACAAATAAAATCTTTAAAAAAATGAATGTTGTGAGAATATGGAGAAACGGAAATCTCCATATACCGCTAATGAGAATGTAAAATAGTGCAGCCACTTTGGAAACAACTGACAATTGAATTGTACACTTTAAACTGGTAACTTTATGATATGCAAATTATGTATCAATAAAGCTATTAAAAATCTTAAAAAATTGAAAATAAAAAAAATCTTAAAAATGATTTTATATCACTTACAATGACATGTAATCATGATTCTTCACATCAAAATATCACACATAAACACTTTTATCAATCCCAATATACTGAGCCCTTTATATAATACATTAGACCTTTAGTGTGTTTTTTGAAATTATTTTAATCCAGAAATTCTAACTTGGTATCACTTTTTAAGAGTGTTTCACCAGATGACCTGAATTGTTTTTATTTTACTTTCATCTTATATACACATAATTAAATATCTTTTTGTGCTTGAAAAGAAATGTCTACAGATGCATTTCTGAAGAACTGAATAGGAAAAAAAGGAGAAATCACAATGCTCTCTCATAAAACAATGAACATAGAACAAACTGTTAAGTAGTCAATGATAATCAAAGAGATGAACCAAAGCCCTGATGTTCTCGTCCGTTCAGTATTTGGTACTTCTACTTATTATACCACCTATCACAATGTTCATCTTTATATAAATTCCAATCCTTCCCATATTCGCTCACCCACACTTGGACTACTTGGTTGTCTACGCAATGCTCATGAACCTACTCAATGAGCTCTGGCCCAAACAGCCACATCCACACTCTCCTTCCTACAGATGTCTATATATGATATCAAATGCTAAGTCGAAGGATGAAGAATACGTAATTGACACAGTTCACCCAGGCATCCTGCAGGTGGACAAGACATCCATGTAGTAATACTACTATGGCAAACTTGATGAGGCTCCAGGTAGCCCCACAGTACAGCAGCTATTACTAAACTTCAAGAATAACCAGGTCACTAAGAACTCAAATTAACACGGAAAAATTCCACCTTCAGAGTCTGAGTCCTACCACTTGGACATCACCAGTCATATTATTTCTATGTTCTTCACACAATACCTTCAAGAAAGAGGGGATAACTGTAAAATTTCTAACTCCTAAAATTGGAAACTGGAACACAGAACTGGCATCCTACACTAGGAAAATACTTAAACCAGAGTGATTTATCAATTTTAAGTATATGAGGGATTATTATTAAGAAGGCATCTGAGGGTGCCTGGGTGGCTCAGTCGGTTAAGCATCTGCCTTTGGCTCAGGTCAGGAGTGTCCAGCTCCCTGCCTAGCGAGGAGTCTGCTTCTCCCTCTCCCTCTGCTGCTCCCCCTGCTTGTGTTCTCCAATATAAAGTTTAAAAAAAAAAAAAAAAAAAAAAAAAGAAGGCAACTGAAGCAGATTCTCCAGCCCCAGTCAAGCTTTGAGATAACCACAGCCCCAGCCAAAATGTAGGCTGGAGCCTAGGGAGAAACTCTGAGGCAGTGCTACAGAAGTAAACCATTCCGTAATTTCTTTTTTTTTTTTTTTAAAGATTTTTTAATTTATTCATTTGACAGATAGAGATCACAAGTAGGTAGAGAGACAGGCAGAGAGAGAGGAGGAAGCAGGCTCCCCGCTGAGCAGAGAGCCCGATGTGGGGCTCGATCCCAGGACCCTGGGATCATGACCCGAGCCGAAGGCAGAGGCTTTAACCCACTGAGCCACCCCAGCGCCCCACCACTCCGTAATTTCTAAACTGAGATAGTAAAGTTTATTTTTTTTAAGCCACTTAAAAACACAAACATACAAAAACCATTCAGCAATCTTCATCTCCACGCATCTTAAGTAAAAATGCAGGGATTTAAATTATAGCAGAGTGAATTTATGCTGTATCTCACCTAAAATTTCTTAACTAGAAAAGCAGTTAATGAATAAATACTTTAGTAAGAGGAATTTTAAAGCTACTCCTTCCTGAGGTCAACAAAAACAAGTGAGATAGTTGGTTTTATTTTTGTTTTTTTCCCCCAGGAGTGAATCAGCTGCAGATCTAAGCTAGAGAATGTTAGATTAAATCTGTAATTCCTACTGACTGATCCCACAGACATTTTTTTTTTTTAAAGATTTTATTTAGTTATTTGACAGACAGAGATCACAAGTAGGCAGAGAGGCAGGCAGAGAGAGAGAGGAAGGGAAGCAGGCTCTC